CCGGCCACCATCTGACATGTCTTGGTGAACATCCCAGCACCGTCTCAGAAACCTGGCCAGTGCAGTAATTCTCTGAGAACCTGTTACAAGGCTATTCTCATCACCCTCTCTACCTTGCTGGAGTTTGTTACAAGCCAGTGTCCCATCTGTGTCCCTGATTCTGGTGAGGCATCTGTCCCCCTCCATCAGGAACCTTTGCAAACTCCAAAACTGCTTGACTAGAGCCTACAGTTGGTTCCTCAGCTATCAAGTACTCCATGGCTCCTGCCTCCATCTCTGTCCCTGGGAGGTTGGTGTTGTCCCGTAGGGCAAGGGCTGCGGGTAGCCGACTGCATGCAGAGCTTGCTTATGTTGTCTGCACACCTAATAGATCGTCTCTACCCCTCTGGGTTTGTTTCCTCCTTGCCAATGGAATCCCTGCAAATGTGGTAAGCCAGTACAGCAGTTACCGCTTAGTGACTGACTGATCGCTTGATAGCGACCCTGCCAATGGTAGCTTCAGAAAGCAGGGATGTTTCTTTTCCTCACATATCAAAAAAATCTAGCCACAGGAAACTGCTACATGAAATCAGCAACATGAAGTCAGGATTGATGCTGCTGCAAAAAGTATTCAGTCTTCTTGGTCACAAGACAGTAGTTGCAGTTGTAGGCACCACGTCTGCATTCAAGGCAAAACCAAGCAGTGCAGGCAGGCATCATCTGTTTCATTAGAAAAGCAACATCTTTCCTAGAAATCTCCAGCAGATTCCCCATTTGGCAACATTAGTCATGACAGAGTCACACTACCCTGAACTTTAAGGGAAGCCGTCCAATTTCTGAAAAGTAAAAACTGGATCAGCATGATTAAGCTAGACCAGACTAGTCAGGTACATGCTCGGGTTAGTGAGACCAAAGAGGAGGAGAAGTTACAGTCTGCCACTTAAAGCAATGTTGCCAGTCCAACTCTCCTGGTTCAGTGGGGACCAAGTCAGAGGCTGTCTCCATTATCTCTCTGTGCTTGCATGTCAGTTGTATCTTATACTTAAATCGACTACCGAATGAAGGGGACATTGCAAAGAAAATTTCCAGTTCTGCAGAACTATTAAACTTGTTGTGATCAAAGACTATAAATGCAGCCATCCCCAAATGCCTTTTCTTTTCTTCATTTTAGAGGTGAAATGCCAAATTTAGTATCGAAGGTTTAGAAGAATTCAGTGGACATTGAGAATCTGAAGGTCCAATAGAAAGACATAAGCGAAGTAAAAATCAAATTCAAGCCTAGAAAAATATCTATAATTTCCATCTATAAATAAGGCTTATTACCTTAATACATAAACCCTAGAAAAGACGGATGAACAAGGGCATGGACAGACAGTTCACATAAAAAGAAGCATAAATGAGCATTAAGCCAATGAAAACAAGTTCAGCCTTACCCAACTTTTTCTTTCTTTTTTTTGGATAGGTTTTGCCTTAGGGTGTGTGTGCTCGCCAGAGAGAGAGAGAAACAGTAAGAGGGAAAGTGAGAAATCACCCTCCAAGGGGAATGGTCATGCCACAACCCCTTCTCCTCTCTTTTCCTTCATTCTCCCCCAAGAATCTTGGACATGCACACATACACACACCTGGCATGTGTACCACGCCTGGGTCCAGGATTAGAACTGTGGTTAGCCATGTAGGAGTCCAGCCACATAACCACTATGCCATCTCCTGGCCCACCAGTCATTTCTTAAATGCACATTATAACTACTGAGATGCCATTATAACTTATCTATCGACAAAAATCCAAAAATTCGGGGTCAGTAGGTAGCCTGGTGGTTCAGGGAGCTGGACTCTCACATGGTCGAGCACGGTTCGAGTCCTGGACCTGGCAGCTTGCTTTCTCACTTTCCCTCTCTCTCTCTCACTCTGTCCCTCTCTGGTCAAGTTAGAATAAATAAATAGATAAAGTTAAATTTTAAAAAAAGTAGTTCTTTTTAAAAAATCCAAAAACTTGATCACACTTTGTTAGTGAGTCTGTGGGAAAACAGGCACTCTCAAGCATTTCTGAGAAAGTACAAATGGTACAGTCCCTGGAGGGCACCATGAGGTAATATCTACACAATGTTACAAATGCTTTCACCCTTTCACCCAATGACTAGAAATTTCAACCTCCGCACAGTTATAAAATGGCATGCCCAAGTGATGTGTTATGGCATTTTCAAATGGCATAAGAGGAGAATCGGTCATTTTCATAAGTAGAGGACTGGTTAGAGGCACTACGACACACCCTCACGATGGAGTACATCGTAGGTGAGAAGGAATAAGGGTATCTGCTCTGTTGCTCTGGAAAAGTATTCAGGATAAATATTTCAGGAGAAAAGCAAAGTTCAGAATAGTGAATACATGATGCCCATTGTGACATAAAAAGAAAAATATGAATGTATATTTACTTTGGATCCTAATTGTATAAAGTACTAGAAGCATATGCTGTAGGAGGTGGTGGGAGATGGGAGAGCCAGGTGAGTGGAAGCAGAACATTCTTAATTTAAGAATCAGTGAATTTTTTATAAATGTAAGTTATGGGACCAGCATATGGCGTAATGGCTACATTGCTGTACTCCCATGTAATTGACCACCATTTGAGTCCTGAACCCGGTGGCTTAAACTCATGCCGGGCACGTGTGCGTGTGTGCTCAAGATCCTGAGAGGAAAATGGAGGAGAAGGGATTGCAGCACGGCCATCCCCCCTGGGGGTGATTTCTCGCTTTCTGTCTCTTTGTCTCTCTCTGTCTTTCTGGAGAGTGCATGCATCCTATAACAAAAACCTCTCCAAAAAAAAATTTTTTTTAAGAACACTTTTTAAAAATTGTTTATTTTATTTTATTTATTCATTTATTTTTATTTGACCAGAGACACAGAGAAAGAGTGAGAGAAAGTGAGAAAGCAAGCAACCTTAACCACCAGGCCATCAGTTGGTCCCTCCAAAAAAAATTTAAAAAGTAAGTTATTACTTTACTCAGTAACCTTTTACTGATAAGGCTTCCTGATCTTCCTGATTTTCTTAATCTCTTTTACTTTTCAGGATAATAAGATGAATGCCAAAAGAAATAAAGTGACTAGGCCAAAACAACACTGAGCCAATACCAGGTGCCAACACTGGGCATTGCCAAATTATTTCACAGCACGCGGATGGCAACTATGAGACAAAGTCATACATTCTTCTCCCGGGATCTTGGGCGCACACACACACATACACACATACCCAGCATGAGTTTTAAGCCACCAGGTCTGAGACTTGAACCATTGTCAACTACATGGGAGTCCAGGGACATAACCATTACACCATCTGCTGGCCCCTGCATTTCCATGTTAGTAGATTAAAAAGGGAATACACTAAATCCAGTTGCAAGATAAGATGAGTGAGCCAACTGTTTCAAGGCATGCCGGGCCGCTATCAAACAGCCCCTGCGAGCTTCTCTTGCAATTCTTGATGAAATCAATAGACAGAAGTCTTCTAGATGCCAACAAGACGGGAGTCCATCAGACCTTCGGTATACGGGCAACAGGTTCCACATCGTGCTGGCATTTACAGTCCCGAATATGCCCACCCTATGATTATTTGTTTAAAAAAATAATCATTGGTGCAGAAATGATGTAATTAGCAGGCACTTTCAGTAAATTTGCCAATCCCTTTCAGATGATTAATGATGTCTTCTTATGAGAAAAATGAGTCTACACATGCCATTTTGATATTTGGATTATCAGATAACACTGATTCAGACAGCACAAAGAAATAGCTTTGGTGCTTTTCTTCCTAATCAAAAAACAGAAGCCTAACATATTGTGAAGAAATTGTGCCCCCTGCTGATTTAATTTAACATTAACGCCATCAATGTAGTTTCATTTTGTTTTTAGATGGCTATGGCACTGCTAAATAGTGTCTTCAAGGTCAGTAATTTAAATGTCCTCTCAGACATAAGGCAGCTTCTCCCTGCAATTAGGAACTTTTTGCTTGATATTGACCTTGGGAAAAGAGGAGGCCAAGGAGAAATGTCCTCTTCTGTGAGCTTTGTGAGGATATTTGTTGTAAAAATCTTCTCAGGATTCTGTGTGCAGTTGGCAACTGCATAGTGAAAGCGAGCTAGCAGGGAAACAGCAGAGAGGTGAGTTGGTGATGATGAGCACGGGTCTCTCGTGCTCACTCTCCATTTTAGAACACTGTTCCAACTACCAGAAGAAACTGAAAAGCTCCTGGAGATTAAGTTCACTCAGTCTGAGAAAGCTATTAGCACCAACGAAGAGAATGGTGTTCCGGCATTCCAGATGCGCCGACGTCCTTGTGGTAACTTGGTAGAAGCCCCCATTCTAAACGCCCTCTCCCAAAGGGCTCTGGCCCTGGACAATCTGGTTGACCAGGGATGGAGTATTCGTGATTCCAGCCTCCTTCTCTGGGTCCTCATCTTTGCCCCCATGCTTCTTTTCCTCCTTTGTCTAGTGCCCCTCGACCTGGGCTTTTCATGTTTTTCTAGTGTGTACTGATTTCCAACAAGCTGCTCAGTAATACTTTCGGAAAAGCTAATTGACAAGAGATTGTGTTCTTCATCCTTAGAGAAATTCCTGACACAGAAAGGACTTTAACGGTGCAGTTAGCCTTGAAGAAGATAATGGGGGAAGTACATTTTAAGGAAGAGGACCATTCCTCAGGCTTCTCCCAAACAAGGCAGCTCCTAAACCCTCACCACTTCCTGCCAACCAAGAAAAGAGCAGATTCTAGTGTAAAGGATGCAAAATTTGCTCTAGATTCAAGAAACAAGTAGGTGGTAAAATATTCCATTTACCCCCTATATCCTTAAAAGGCTTTCAGTCTTTCCAGAGTCCCTTTGATCTTTGGCTAGGGTTGCCAGATTTAGCACATAAAAAATGCAGTGAAAAAAATGAATTTGAGTTTCATTTGAATATGAATTTCAGATACACAAGGAATAATTTTCTTAGTATCTGTATTTGTTGTTTATCTGAAATCCACGTTTAACTAGGTCCTATATTATAGCAGGCAACCATGCCTTTGATTTAACTGTTTTCACGCTCTGTCTTTTCTAGACTCTTCTAAAACCAACTCCCAGAGTGACGGGCCAGGTGGCCAGGTTGCCCCAGCCCGCGCTGCGGTCTCCGGCGCTCATCTCCCTCTAGCGGCTGCCAGCGTCATTACACCCGCCCGTCGGGAAGCTGGGCAGGTTGGCTGAGGCCGCTCTGGGAAGGGCTCATGGGAGACCCATAAGGGTATTCTCTGCCGGGTTGGAGGTGGAGGTCTGGTGAGTTCAAAGCCACTTAAATTAGGCACCCTTTTTCTCTGGGCCCCTGCACAAGAAAGTGGCCCTGTTCCCAGTAGCAGAAATGGAGTTTCCTTGCCTCAGTTAAAAATACAATGGAGGGACCAGCAGTTGGCGTACTGGCTATGTCGCTGGACTCCCACGTAGTCGACCTCGGTTGGCGTCCCGGACCCGGTGGCTTAGAACTCACGCCGGGCACATGTGCGTGCGTGCCCAAGATCCTGAGAGGAGACTGGAGGAGAGGGGATTCCGGCGTGGCCATACCCCCTGGGGGGTGATTTCTTGCTTTCTGTCTCTGTCTCTGTCTGTCGGGCGCGCACACTCGGGCGAGCACACGCTCCCTATAGCGAAAAAAACCTCTCCAAAAAAAAAAAAAAAAAGGAAAAAGAGCTCTACAGAACGGCCTGAGCTGGCAGTTAACGTCTACTCCTTGGCTGGACTCACCACTAGAGGCTGATGAATGTTGTACCTCGGACTGAAGAGAAACCCAAGCCCCTCATTGAGCCCAAGTGATTTGTCAGAGAGTATCCATGTAGACGGCAAGTTTCCAAGGGTGAAGAGCTTAAGCTTATCTGTCATCTGTAGTGCGCCGACATTCAATTCATGTGTTAACAGGAACTGACATTGAAATACACCAGTGAGGTACCAGCAGATGGCATAATGGTTACGTCGCTGGACTCCCATGTAGTCCACCACGGTTCGAGTCCTGGGTCTGGGGGCTTAAATTCATGCTGGGTGCGTGTGCATGTGTGCCCAAGATCCTGAGAGGAGAATGAAGGAGAAGGGATTGCAGCATGGTCATTCCCCCGGGGGGTGATTTCTTGCTTTCTGTCTCTCTCTCTCTAAAAAAAAAAAAAAAAGAAAGACAGAAAGAAATACACCAGTGACTTGAAGTTAAAAATAAAGAAGAAATCTATTTCTATGTTCAGAAAATAACCACACCACTGGAAGAAATGGTGGCTAAGGTGTTTATCTTCAGCATTAACTGTGAAATTGAGTCTCTTCATTTCTTTTCTTTTCTTTTTTTTTTTTTTTATTTTTTGCTACATAGCATATTAATTTGCCAGAGAGAGAAAGCATTCCTCACATATGGTCACAGGGCAGTCCTTTTTCCTCCATTTCTCCGTCCCATCAGGATTTGGGGCACACATACCTGGTTTTTTTTAAGCCACGGATGTCTGACCTCGGTTGGCCATATGGGATCCAGCTCCTTACGCAAGGGGCTTAACTACTATGCCACGGGGGGTGGGGGAGCACCACTTCCACTTTTAACTTAGTAAATTAATGGCTGGACTCTAGTCCTAGGTTGAAGGATGGATAAATATGAGATTGGTGCTTTCAATAGTTAATGACCCCTAGCAACGTCTAAAGCGGGCTAAGAGTGGTTGGAGCCAGAACACGGGCCTCTAGAATCCCACAGGTGACTCCCAGGTTGCTCTTGAGCTGTTTGAAGGACTTTTCTGTAACATGGGTGTTCTATGACTGGCTGTGGATAGAAAGGAAAGGAGGCAGTAACTATCGTAACTGTCCTCATACTAAGTAAATGACCCGCCATGAGGCACACTCATTGGCTTTAGTGGTGCTAAGGCAAGACAGAGACGTCAGTAATAGTACTCTAGTGACAGGGCCCGTTTCACTGTATTACGTAGGACTAAGGACACTTTTAGTGTCCATCAGCCTCCTTCAAGCGACCCGAAGGGCAGAGAACCTAAGCAAAAGCAGTCATCTTGCTTTGCAAGTTCATGACAAATCCTCTAGGAGTGGCCTCTTTAAACAGATTGCTTATCTCTAAGCCCTCCTACACAGACTCACTGGATCTCCACCACCTACTACCCATCTAAGTCCTGACCTATCACCTCACAAAGTAGGGTGGTAGGTATATGCACAGGAAATTGAGACATCAGGTACTCACACTTTTTAGACTAACTCATAAGGAAGGGAATAGTAATTACTCAGCATTGACTATGTCCTAGGCACTATCTCTTATTTTCTCATGTGATCTTCGCAGTCACCCCATAAGATTATCATTAGTGTCCACAGATTTGCAGGTATGAAATACAGTAAAGAAGTGAAGTAACTTGGCCAAAGTCATGCAGAGAGAGCCAAGACGCAAACCTGCATCTGCCTTATTCATCTCTTTCCAGCATACAGTACTAGGACTTGAGTGTCTGAAGAGGTCATGTGTGTACTTTGAAAAAGGTTCAAGTAGTTAGTAAACATAGAACTGAAATAGCATGCATCAAGGGAAAATGCAAAAGGGATGGGTAGGCTCTGTCCTTCCTTCTCTGGAGCTCAGTACTGTGCAGCCTTGATTTCATCAGCTCGTCTTTTAAACTGAAGCCTCTCTTGATAGCAAAAGAGGGAGCTCTGATTCCAAAATATTTCCCAGGTCCTAAGATATAGACATTTTCAGGCCTCACCTCCTGAGTATCTGGGAGGCCTGGGAAAGGGTCTGAGATCTGTATTTTTAGCAAGCATGGCAAAATTGAGACTCAGGAGATCTGATGTTTTCTAATGTTCATTACTTTTCTAACTCTGTAAATCAACCACTTAAGCTTAAGAGAATATTCTAGGAATGATTTATTATTACTTTTATGGCTATGTTAGGAAAGCACTCAGTAAATGAACCGCCATATTTCAAAAGAATGATAATATGTCAGAATTCTGACGGTGTTTTCTATGCCATTTCACCAGCATTTGGCAACTTGTAACATAACCCCAATGGCTATATGAGCTCCTTAAATCTGGTCATTCTGCTTGAAACTAGATTGCAAAACATTATGTGGGGTAAAGACCTGTAGGCTTTCCAAGGAACAGTTAATCTTATGAAAAGAACGATTTTTAGAGCCAAAGTGTGTAATAGTGGTTGCTTAAACCAGATTTTCCTATCATTGCTTAGATGTTTTACTGATTCTTTAAACAAGCATTTTTTTAATTACCTACCGTCTTCAGAGTAGGCTAGGAGTGGTGAAGAAGGATAAAGAAGAGCTGATTATTTCCATCAACCTTAATTTATAACATATCCCCTTGAATCCTGTGAAGAAAGTGGACAAAATAAGGTCAATAAGTAAAAACATAGCAGATTACTGATGTTTCCACTAAGAAAAGAAACACTTTGCACACTGATGTTACTTCAATGGACATATGCATGAGAACAGTGTCCAAAGCTGGTCTCTGAGTATCATCAGTTGACTTAGGGGAAATCCAAAACACTTTAAAAGGCAGTGAAGGGTCTGCTACATCTTAATCTTGAAGTATTCTCTACTCCATCTTGTTGATTCAAAGTCACTTCAATAGGCTTAATATTAAGACAAAAGAGAGAGAAAGAGAGAAAGAGAGAGTCCCAAGTCCCTTAACTAAATGTTTGCTCTTTTTCTTTTTACCTCATTTTGATTTTCCAAAATACTGAATTTATGGGCCACCCAATTTTATCCTTCCTTGGCCATTGACACTATGCATACCCTTTTAGATAATTACTATTTCCTTCTTTAGTCATTATCTGCAACATATAAATTTTATTATCTTTATCGCATCTCAGTGTGAAAGAGAAAACTCATCTAAATCTATCTATATACTTCCCTTTGAAGATGGTGTCGTAACATTTGTAACTTTTCTCTCATGAGTAAATAAACTGCCTAGAAGATGATTGTACGTGGTCTTTTTATTTCTTATAGATTCTCTGTCTATATTGCTGATGTCACTTGCTCAAATATCTAAGGATAAATCTTTACAAGTAAGACAGGTGAGTGGTTGACGCATGACTAACAGGCAATTCTCCCGCAAGAAACTCAGGATTATGTAAATATGTCTGATTCATGCCTGCTGCAACCAAAATGTGTAATAATTGAGCAGCAACAAAGAGCAGAGATGATGACAGCCCAGCTGCAGCAACAGCTTCTCTAGCTCAGTAACGCAACAGGGAAATTATGACCCTGGCTAAACAAGTAGGCCTCAGCACCATTCCAATCATGCCAAGGAGTGATGTGATTTTTCCTCCCATGCCCATAGTAAAGAGCCTATGTTGTTTAATTTTGATGTTTCTCTTCAAAGTATGCTCCATGGCTTCTGTTCTCCCTTCATAAAGCTCTACACAATCATTCATTCCATTTCTGTTCAATTAAGATTCCTTAATTGCTTCCTGCATGCTAGGCTTGGAGTTTAGAGCTAGAAAAATAGCTCTAAATACTATTAGGTAGACATAGACATAGCTGTCTTCTGGTGCACCCTCCTGGTCAATCAGATACATCTACTTTTAAGTATCTCAGAAATGAGTCAGAATAGAAGAGAATGAGGCTAACACATGGGCTTTGGTCAAACAGACTAGAACGAGACTCCAGCTTGTCACTGTTACCTGTGTACGTTAAGGACTTGCAGGTACTACTGAGCTTTGTTTTCCTTTTAGTAAAATAGAGGCCACATGAGTGCTTATTTCCTGAAATAACTGTGAGCATTTGTGAGCTAATATATTTAAGTACTTGCTCCAGTGCCTTGAATTCAACAAGTGCTCAAAAACTGGAAGCTCTTATTAATTAATATTAAGATTTTCCCGGGCATATATACATGGAGTCATCTGTTCTCTGTCAGAAGGCCAGGGTTCTCTTTGAGCCATCAGCTGGGCTGAGCTTAAGAAAAGTTTTAGACAAGGACTGAAAATGACATATGACTCAATTCATAATAATCTGTTGCTGACTCATCAACCAGGGACTATTAAAGTTAAGATTTCTCCTGGCAAATGAAATTAAGAGAATAAGAATTAGTGCTATGAGTCCAGCTCCATGGGACAGTGGTAATAACTTGCTCAAGAGAAGCCAGATCCCTCCTTACTGGCTCGAATCTCCAGCTTTTTCAGTCTGAAACACTGGGTACACGTGCCAGTGCACAGGACCTGACAAGCTGGAGGATGAGAAGGGGATTGTGGTGTGACCAGACCCTACGGACTGTGCTCCTCTCTCTCTCCCTCTCATGTGCACATGCACATGCTCTGTCATGAATTAAGAAAAAAATTTGCAACAACAAGCAAATTAGTGCTGTGACCCAGAGTTCCTTCTCTTTAGAATGACATTTCATTTTATTTATTCTGAAGAAAACAAATTTTGAGAGAGGCTATAAAACAATGGCTCACCGGTCAACTAGTGCTATATAAGATATTTATTGTGCATTATGTATTTCCATAAACATATTAAAGATTCAGAGAATATTAGCAGAAAAGTTCATTTCCCATCCTCTATAGAATTTTTTTTCTTATTTTGGAACAGCATCAATAAGCATCTCAAGGAACACCGTTTTAAAAACGCTGCTGAGAGAAGAAAAACGTTCCTCACAATTGGCAAGCAACCGCAAAGGGTCCATGTTTGGGAACCAGGCAAACTGTCTCCTGACCCTGACCCTGACCCTGACCCTTACCCATAGTGTAAAAGTCTTGGGCAAGTCATCGTTTGATTTCTGCACATAGAAAATGAAATGCTAATATATCCTCCATAGAGAGCCATACAGAAAAGATTCATTACAAAATGCATGTAAGGTACAATCAGAAGTTGGCAATAAAAGTTAATATTGTTACAATGAGCATCCTAACTTGTTCACAGTAAATCCAAGAAAGCAGTTCTTAAGAGTAAAGCTTTTGGGTATTGAATGTCTGAGAGGAGCTTGGATGTGTTCAGGATTTAGCTATTGACTGAAGTATAACATGTGTGTAAGGAAAGAGCAGGAATCAACACTGAGAAGATGGAGAAAACAAGGAAGATAATTTGGCACTGAGGTACTGAGGCTATCAACAGGAGTAGTGAGGAAAACATAGGTAGATGTGGCTGGGGGAGTGAAGCTAGAATTGTTTGGATGTGCTGGTTTGAAAAACTACTAAACCACCCAGTTAACAATTACAACTATCCAGATTTTAGGAGAGAGATCAGAGCTTGAGAAACAAACTGAAAGAACATTAACATATTCTTGTGACACTTTTGAGAAAAGGACTATGTCTTACTCTGCTCTTTATCTTTTTTGATCTAGTGTCCAATGCATATAGTAGAAGCTTTTAAAACATTTGGAAAATGAAGGAATAACTGAACAAATTAATAGTTTGTAAATCTAATAAATCAAAATATATATTCCAAGTCATATGATCAAAATAGAGTAAAATTCCAACCAAATGAATGAAATAATAGTTGAAACCATGGAATTGAAAAGATCGATTCCATTTTTCATGAGGGAGAGACAGAGAGAAAAAAATAAGCACCCTCAATGAGAGTCTCATACTGTGATCCCCTCTAGTCTTCCCAGCTAGCCAAGGTCATGGCATGCTCGTGGTCCACGCTTACCCAATACATACAGGTCAACCCGAGAACCAAACCCTGATCTTCCGCGTGGCCATCAGCATTGCAGAGTGTTGCACTACCGCTACACCACCATGGCTAGGCCCATTGGCATTTGTGAAGGCTTCAATAATTAAATACCTTTGAGGATAGTAGTTATGCTAATAACATTCTTCTGGTGGACAATGCAAGTTTTATAAATAGGTGAGAATGACAAGCTCCTGGATGTGTAGGACTTACCTTACAGCCAGTACAACCTAGACAGGAGAGAAAAAAGGAAAAGAAAGGATGTTTCAAATAATTTTTTAAAGAGGTTTTTGCTATATGGTGCATTCACTCGCCAAAAATACAGAGAGAGACAGAGAGCTAGAAAGTGAGAAATCATCCCCCCAGGGGGATGGCCACGCCACAATCCCTTCTCCTCCATTCTCCTTCGGGATCTTGGCACGTACGCACACGCGCCCGGCTTGAGTTTAAGCCACCGGATCCGGGATCAGAACCATGGTCAGCTACATGGGAGTCCAGTGACATAGCCATTATGTCAACT